CAGATTATAGGCCGTGATTGAGGGCCAGGGTACCTTGAGCTGGCTTTGTACCCTTAGGATGATAATAAGCACTCATGAAAACCAAAAAAACAATTGTTCCGTGTTTGCCCCCAAGTCTAGCAGACATTCTATTCATCTTAAAATACGGCTGTTCGTACCTTAAGCGCCTCCAGTGTGGTTAATGGGCACAGTTCATAGATGGGTAAGGATTGAACGATAAGACAAAGTTTAGCCTACAACAAACAACATTAAGACTGAAATGAGAAAAACTGATTTACAGTCAAAGTAGATAAAGAAGCACCACAAACCGATCACTTGGAACGTATAGTTCACTTTGTTCCTGCAGTCAAATTAAAAGTTTCATAGCTCCGTGTATACTGAGAAATTACTTTAGAGACACTTCAACTTCTCATAAAGTTGCCAGCCGAAAACGAGCCATCCTGAATTTTGAATGAAGAAAATCACAGGAATACGATAATATAAACTTCCATAAAATTGAGTATGCCTTGGAAAATTGTTGCATTAACAATCACCGCCCATCACGCTTCTAGGGATACAGACTCCAAGTAATGGCCTGATATTCAAACGGTTTTGTGTCAGCACCAAATGGCTATCAGTCGAGTGGATTTTTCTCATAGCTTGAAAAATCAACTCAAGAACAAACCTGGACAAAAGGCAGCGTGGTGATGTCATCAACAGCAAATGGATATAACTTGTTTAAAAGGATGATCACTTCTGCTTCGCTGGCAACTCCAAGTTCTTTGGCCTCATTCTCCAAATCCTCGTACCTATTAAGTGAACAAATGCTTAACCAGAGAGGAATGTATAAGATGCACGGGATCCTTCTTGATTTAGAAAAAAAAACCTTAAAAAAGTCGCACTATAGTAACATCCTAAAATGGTTCTAAATTCCAAGAAGACATCGACGTAAAAATTTCCCGAGAAAAAATGTTGCACAAGTCCTTGTTACCTCTGAAACTATTTTCAAAGCTTAAAAAATCAAATTATTGGAGGCTTTACTATTTACTATTGTTTGTAAAACAATATTTGATTCAGCTTCTATGAAAAAACGAATGTCAGGCTCTTACACCTTGAGAAAGTTCATCCTGATCTTACTGTCACCTACTGCCACTCATTTTGCTTTCATCTTTAACCCTCCTTATGCCTTGTATGCTTTTGGTTTTATCTTGATTGTTTTTATGGTTTTGAATTTTTCTTTGTTCATTTATGTACCTCCTGTGTTCACTACCCTCGTAAGGTGTGGTTTTGGTTTTCTCCCATATCCTCAAACACGAAACTTACCACGTCAATCTTGGTGCTATCAATTTCTATTCGGCCACAGCCTCCTTTAGTTTTTTCTAACATTTTAACTGCAGCTTTTTGTCGTGATATGGAGAATATAAACTTTTATAAATCCCGGCATTTTTTTTATCTATTTATCATCAATTTTCCTACGTTATTTACCATGGAGCGCTTTTAACATCTTCCTTGTCGGAATCTTGAATGATCTCACGGCCTGCTTGTCGCACTCTTTGTAAATCCACTGGATAGACCGAAGATGGATCAACCGCCTGGACTTTTGAAATAAACGAATGCTTTTCATTCCTGTTCGATTAATAAAATTAAAAGACTACATAAGTCATGATTTTGGACCTCACTGGAATCTTCCCAGGGAGCTGAAGGACAAACGTTTTTGAGATGCGGACGGCAGTTGGAAGTTAAAAAGTTCTCATGGTCTGCACAATTTCGTTTGCAACGTTTAAACGACAACCTTATAGTCGATAAATTGGCGTCAAAAGACACCAGAATAAATAATATTCTTCTTCCGCCTGCTGTCCGCTTCTCTAAAACGTCTCTGCTTGAGTTCTTTTCCAGAAGACGACCGCTTCCATCCGGCATTAAAAGTAAGTAGCTAACGAGGAAAATATCTCATATAAGTATATACCACACTAAAGAATTGGTCCATGCTTAGCGCGCGTATATTAAGTTATGGATGTACGCGGAAAGTTTGGAGAGCACGAGAAAAGCGTAAGAGTTGTTCGAGGCGCAGCCAAAGACAAAATAGTACGTCAAGAGTTTAATTTCTGACCATATTTCAGCAAAAGAAATAAACTTTAAGTTTTTGGTATCTGTATGGTACATACTAATCAAGATCAAGTATCCACCTCAGTGTTGGTGAAAGTGGCGAATATTTACCCCCACTTTGTAAGTAGTTGGACACTATTTTGACGAATTCCAAACTGAGAATTCGTAGCACGATATTCTCAATGCTTGAAATTCAAAGCCCTTGTAAGCTTTATAAGAACAATTGATAATTAACAAACTAAGATTCATCAAAGTCCAAAGTTATACAACTTCAGTTTAAACTGAGGAAAGATCTCTACGCATTACATTTTGAAGAGTTTGAGCTTTCATTGGTTTTATTTCCTGAGGCAGAGAAGAAGCTAGCTGAATGAAAGTGTCAGATGTATTTTGCTTTAATCTCAGACAAGAGGAAGCAATGCTGTACCCTTAGGCAGCCTTTTATTCTACCTAGATGAGCACCACGAAATCCTAACTAAGGCATCCCTTAAGCTCATGACAACGGCGGATGACAACTTGTTGTGCCAGTTTTGCTTGTTGTTTGTTGTGTCAAGATGACAAACCTGTTGATCTCGGTGAGTTTTTTTCTGACTCGCTCAGCAGACCTTGCTTGAATTTTTTCAAAACCTTCTTGGATCGTATCACACAAAGAGTTTTCAGATTTTGAAGAAGACTTCTTTAAGCTGTACAATACATAGACACAAACCCCAGTATGTTAAAAATATCTTCATTATTTGCAGTTATTGTATGATACACACAAAGAAAAAGACGAAAAAGCCAATTAATTAATTACCTAATTAAATCGTAGACAAATAGAACAAAACCAGCGAGATTCTACTCAGCGGTACATTTTACTGATTCGTCTATCTGTCCGTCTGAATGGGTGTCTTTGCATATGTACATGTCTTTTTATCTGTTTGTCCATCTAGTAGTCATTTGATCTGTCTGTTTATCTTATAGTCTGTTAGTTCGTTTTTCTGTCCGTTTGTCCGTCTCTTTGTTTTTGCGTTGGTCCATCTGCCTGCCTTACACTCAGTCTTTCTGCTTTCCTGTGCTCAAGTTAGCCTCTCTGTTTGTCTGTTGCCGGGTCAAGCTGTCTGTCTCTCAACCTACCCGAGTGTAAAGGGATTACGTCTCTAAGAAAACCGTGGTGCTGCGTCGGTGGGGTAGTGATCGAAGCAAGATACTTTGGTTTTATCAACTGAGTTGGAAATGAAAATTGGCCACCGTTACGAGTTTCAAAGCTGACGTTTCGAACGTTGACCCATCGTCATATAAACATTTCGAAAATGTCTTGCTGTACATCGAACTCAGTTCATGATAAACGCCAGCCTTACCCGTTGCTCACTCTCTAAGTAAAGACAGATTGCTCGACTCTCTCGAAAAGCGATGTTTAGACAAGCAATAAATCATGTATTTAAAGAGGTAAGCTTCGCTCTGCCATAGGCCTAATGCTAGAATCTGTCAGCTTTGAAACTCGTTGCAGTGGCCAATTTACATTTTAAACTCAGTTGATAAAACCACTTCATTAATATGTAAGCCTGTTTGTCTCAGGTTTTCTGAAATGAATTGTACGTGGAAACTGAACAAACCGTCTCTTCGGAAATTGTCCTTTGGGGCCATTTTCCTTTGCATCTGGAAAACAAGAGAGAGCAAGTTTGCGCTATGTTTAAAACACATTAGCCGAATTCCTCTAGTATAGAAATATCCCTCGAGTTTGTACTGTTATATTGTAATGTTGTGGGATAAATCGAGTTTTTCTTGTTGTGTTTTTGATGTTGGAGATAGACCGACATGTATGATTTGAACCCACGTATGGAAAGAACTCAAAAGCTCACTTTTCTCTGCAGAGGCAACCTGGTGCCAAATAGGAAGCTGATCCTTGGCGTCACTTGCTTGTGCGGCTCCATTCTGAATGACTTGCAGCATTCCACCATGTCGCCTGTTAAGACGTAAAATTTAACAATGTTTCAGTGTTAAAGCATCATGTAATTATAAGTAGCCGTGCGTGTGAGGTAATTACGAAGATTTACCCTATCAAAGATTATGTATATTCAATTTTATTTCCCGCATAGTTTTTTTGGTCGCATAAAGACTCTAAAGCTTTGATCAATAACGCTGAAAAATTAACGATGGACGTCGCCATTTTGAAAACAAGTCCGTAACCAGGCCACACATGTAGAACTACGACGGGCGGTTCAAAAACAGCTGCTGTCCTATTTTTCACTTCTAAAAACTCAAAAATAAATGAAATACGAAAAATTAAATTATTTGTGTTCTGAAATTATTCAATTTAGCGCCCGGAGTGCTTATTCACTTTTGGTACCTCAACAGATTGATCAGTGCTTTTACTGGAACCGAATAGGGGCGTGTATTAGAAAAGGGCCGCTTATTGGAATAAAGGTGTTTACTCAACAGGGGCGCTCATTGACAAAAAAACAATTTGAGGGGGGCACTCATTGGAAGTAGGGCGCTAAATCGAATCATTACGGTAGTCGAGAATATCGTTTTTGAAGGCCCTTTTTGCTGCAGATCGCCAGGAGATGGAGAAAAAGGAGACTTCTTTAGGTAACAGGCTGGAGCATGGTTGCTGAGCAAGATTAAAATGGAAGCATCCGCTTACCACTGGACACTATTTATAATAATGGTGTTCAGTGGTTGCAGGACGCTACTAATCGTAATGGTTTATGGTGGTTGCAGGACGCTACTAATCGTAACAGTATGTGCATGGTGGTTACCAGCACAGAGTAAAGATGTTATTCCTTTGTTTCCCAGAAGCAATACGATGAATACTGATGAAGAGATATCTATCCAATCCTCAGTAATAGCCATTAAGAAAAGGGTGATGTTTTATTGGAAGAGTGACTGTGAAATTTTGGACGTAAAAGATTTTCAGGAATATCTCTAGCTATGACATTTGTATGATTCACTCAGCGCTGTGCATGACAAAAGCATTTCTTGACGATATTACCCAAGTAACTTGTTTACGAAAGCATTGGCTTTCAGAGTAAACAGTCATTTCATCATCGCTAGCTTTCATAGAACTGTGCACCTACCTCACTCTAACACCACCATAAACCATTTTCACTGAGTTTATAAAACTGGCTCTTGTTCCCTGGCTCTTAGCACCCTGTTCTCCAGCTGGTCCACCCCTTATGGCTCCCGGCCACGCAGGAGCCTGAGATTGAGAAGAAGGTTTATCTCCAGCTTCCAGTAGATCTTCCCATGTGTCAATCTTGTCAGACGTGTCTCTTGTCCTACAGAAAACAAGTATTTACTTTAGTATCAACTAGAAGTTGAAGCAAGTGACTGACCTGCCATAAGAAGTTCTGTAAAACTGACTTTCCGAGCGTTAGTACTTTTCCGAGACAAGGTACTTTGACGAAGTGTTATCTTCTTTCTGAGCTGACAGGGGCCTGGCGCTTGAAAGGATAGCTTTCCAAAATTCACCGAGGTGGATGATCTATCATTATTAACCACCGATGGATGATCAACTGAGCATTTAAGTAGCCAGCTGACACAGTGCAGCAGTTTCTTTAGAGTCTGAATAGCTTCAAAACCAACACTTATTTATCTACTCATTCATTGATTCCTTCTCCATCCATTCACCCCTCATTTCATTCACTCACCTATTCGTGCATTTATTCAATTATTCATTAATTCATTCATCTATCTATCTGCACATTACTCCTTCCTATGTGTGCGTGTCCGTTCTTCCGCTTTTTCATTCATCTATCTATTAACACATGACTTCTTCTTTTCTTTTTTATTCTGTCATTGATTCATTTAAAGTTCATTTAAATAAATGGATCATTTAAAAAGCGGTCCCATCTACTGATAAATCATCATCGATCCATTTCTCCCAATGACCTCTATATGTAAGACAGAAAAAAAACCTCAATTTGCGTCCAAAGACAGATGCCCTGGACTCAGTGCGTCCAGATCCAGCAATTCCAGGGCGGAATATAGAAGAAGGCGAATCACAAAAAAAGCTCGCACGTGTGTTCATCTGAGGAGACAACTGGTGATCATGATCCATACGGGAAACTTCAGCATCCGTGGAGGATCTTTGAGGACCGCGTGACTGAAGTTGCACGTGTGTCATATTCCTTGTGTGTCTCAGGGGTTTTCCTTTTTGATCCGTCGAAATCGCTATTTTGAGTGTCCTAATAAAGTCCTTTGACAACGGCACCTGCAAGTTAATAAAGTCTACACCTGGTTACATTCCACAGAGCTGGAAAGTGACAATGTTCATTTAGCGTACCCCGTACAACTTGTTCGCTAAACCTGATAGGACTTTGTCATTCCCTACGATTAGTCAGAGTACAGACGCGCATCAGACGTCATGGAAAGTTATTTACCTTACAGTGTTCTTGAGTTATTTATTGTAGAAGAGGAGATACTGTGCGGTAAGAATGAAGGAAAGACTTCCGTATAATTCACTTTATCCTTAAACAAAACTGTAATTCCAAAGGAAATCTGTTGAAGGCTGTTTGAACGTACACTTTTCAAAAATATGACCTACGATTTTTAAACTAAGATAACCTTTTTTCGTAACAAAGAAGTTCTTTATCATCAATTTTCGTTCTCGCCAAGCACTTAAAGTAAATTTACGATTTGTTTTATAAAAATTCCCCTTTTTACCTTGGTGCGTAAATCTTTTGTCCTCAGGTTATACACATAGCACAGCAAAGTGTGCAGACTTCTGAGTTTACCGCTAAAGTTACGAACATACCGATCGTGTTGTACATCCCTAAAACGAAACATAACTGTCAAACTCTCTTTTGTGGCTCGTGATCTTTTCAACACGCAGTGAGCTGATACTATGAAGCTTTATTTGGGCATCAAACGGCTTACAATATTAATACAAGGCGTAATTTTCTTATTGATCGATTTCGTCTTTTGAGTCGATGAGATTGACTGGTATCTAAAGTCCACGAATATCTCGGTCAGGGGATGGTTGCCATCAAACTGGGAGAATAAAAAACTTACCACTGCCGAGGAGCGAGGACTGGTACTCCGGCCCTGAATTGGTTGCTAAACCTTTGAGCTGCGCGCAATAGTGCTGACGCCACAATATGCAGGACGTCTATTACATATCATTCTACTTGCTTTTTGTGGTATGGTGTCTCAAAGACTTCTTCGTAGGTCAATTAATTGAGTATCCGAACGCATAATTGAAATTAGGTCGAAAACAAATCCACGCGGGTAAGTTAGATTAATGCAAGTCCTTACAGCAGGGACCAGTCATTGCATAATAACTTACCTCTGATCAATAACCTCTTCCTCGTGTTCTGATTTTATCTCACTGGGGAAGGCGGCAATCAACTCTTCCCCAACCCCTAATGTGTCAGTTCCATCAAATGACCTGAGCTTGTTCATCATTTTCTTGGTTTTATTCGGAGACACATTTGATGGCTCCGTCATCAGCAACTGACCTTGAGGGCCCTTCATGACATCTACCACCTACATAGAGATATGATATATTCTTTTAAATGCGCATGTGTGTTGAGAGGTAGAAGTTGAAGTGACCCAGAAAAAATAGTAAACACAGCAAGAATTGTTCGCCAGTAGCCAGTAAGATTTGAGATTGTCAATTCCCTCGTCACGTAATGAGAGACAAGGAAAACTTTTACTCTAAATGGCTGTCTTGATTACTGTACGGTAAAGGTTAAGTCAGTTCCCGAGCCAAGTGGCACACCATGCCGGAGCTTATCCCAGTTTCTTTTACGTAAAAGCGACCAAGAGTATCATTACC